AGATCCATGTGCAAAAGTTGAAGCGGTCTAGACGTTGAAACAACGTTCTTAGACTTAAACGAAGCCCGAACTTGCTTCCCCTTTTGACATGCATCACATATGGCGTCTTTTTCAAACTTAAGTTTTGGAATGCCAATTACTAAGTCTTGTGAAACCAATTTGTTCAAAAGGTTCATGTTCATATGAGCTACCCTTCGGTGCCATAACCAAGTGTCTTCCTCTTTACTCATGAGGCACTTAGCAAAGTCGGAAGGAGATTTGTCTAAGTTAACCATATAAATGTTATCGTGTCTAACACCACGTAGAATAACCTTATTATCACTAAGGCGTTCTACCGTGCATGATTTTGAATCGAAGGTCACACGGTTTCCCTTGTCACATAATTGACTTATGCTCAAGAGATTGTGTTTAAGACCTTTAACAAGCAAGACATTATCTATAGAGAAGTTTTCAGATTTACCTACTGAACCAACGCCGATAATTTTTCCCTTGCTATTGTCTCCAAAAACTACGTTTCCTCCTTTAGCGGGTTTGATTTGGAGAAACTTCGATGCATCCCCGGTCATGTGCTTGGAGCATCCGCTATCAAGGTACCAAAGTACACTTGATGCCTTCAAGCACACCTATGAAACACATCAATGAGTTTTAGGTACCCAATTTACGTTGGGTCCTCGGGTGTTAGGTGTGTGATGGTAGTGTGCATGATTTTGTGACAGGTGCCTATGCCTAGCGTAACAAACGGGAGCAATATGGCCTATCCTATTACAATAATGGCAAACTACATTGGGGTTGTACATGTGCCTAGGTTCATAGTAGTTAGAAGGTTTAACCATTTTGTTCCTATTTTGTGAAAATGATGGTTTTTGGAAATTTTGAAACTGGCCTCTTCTAGGTGTTCTATCATTATTTCTTCTTATTTGAGAAAATTCATTTTTATGCACAAAATCATTTTTCTTAGGTTGTCTACCATGACCGTTTTCATTCCTAGGTTTTAGTCTAGGTTGTCTAGTGTCCTTAGTTTGGCTAGGTTTTCTATTATCTTGATTTTTAGGTTTCTTATGTTGAACCTTAGATGATTGTCTAGGTGGTGGCTCAACATTATCTTTAGCTTTATTTTTATCAAAACCTATTCCTTCCTAAGAAAAATGCATAGTGTCAAGAAGTAAATTCAAGTCTTTGTGAGGAGTATTAAATTTCTTGACCGTGCTCTCAAGTTTAGCGACTTGCTCTTTTAAAGCTTTGCAAGACCCACATTCACTTGATGAGCTTTCTGGTTTGTCAGCGCTTCTTTTACCAAAAAATTTGTTTTCTTGTTTAAGTATTTCATTTTCTTTTTCCAATTTTTCAAAATCGTTTTCAAGTAAGGAAAGTCGTTTCTTCAAAGATTTATTTGTTTTGGAAGCGCTAACAAATTCCTCATAAAGTTCATGAAGTGCTTCTTGCATTTCTTCAAAAGTATAAGAGTCGGAAGAAATGTTACATACCTCTTGGACGTCGTCGCTTTGATCTTCGTGCGCCATGAGGCAGAGATTTGCAGCTTCGTCCTCCTCTTGGTCGTTGATTCGTCGTCGGAATCGCCACCCCAAGAGATGTAGGCCCTTTGCTTCTTGAAGCCAGGCTTGTCCTTGCCGTGTTTGGCCTTTGGACACCTTGGCTTGATGTGGCCAATCTTGCCACAGCTGATATGCACATATTTTATACACTTTTTAGGCATATTTTGAAGGAGTTTTGAGTCCCAATTGAATTTAATATTTATATTTTATTTCAATTTTCCGTTTTATTTTGGTAGAGCAGTCCTATGCTGGTTTTTATATGTTTTGCAGACATTTTGAGGTCATTTGGATGCATTGAGGATAATTGCAAGGACGGAAAATAAACATGGATGTTTGGGACCAAAATAAATGGAAGTTTTTTGAAGGAATGAAGGAATTAAACAAAAATAAAAGCCATGGGATTCGAACTTTGGACTTGCGGCATGCGGAACCGGAGCTTTAACCATCGCGCCGAAGCTGATTATTCAGCTTATCACTGGCGAACACGGCTAAAGTTCTGAACTGAAAGTCGGCCATTGATTAAGAGAGAAAAAAATGACAAAACACCGACACTAGAGGGAATCAAACACGGGATCACACGACACAACAATCATCCCTAATTCCATGTGCGCTACTGTGCTTATGTTGACTAAAGTGGGACTGTTTGTATATACTCCGTATATACGAATTCATCTATAAAAACCCAACCCTTCTCTTCTTCAAAGAGGTTGGAACCCCCCATTTCTCTCCTCTCTCCCATCTGAAATTCTCCTCCTCCATCACTAATATCTCACCACTTTCTTCATCCAAACACATAAAAATTACTCCATCATCATCATTTATCATATTTGGAGCTCAAGAACACATCTTCCATTTTGTAAGATTTTTATTATTGTAATAAATATTTATTTGTTTAAGCTTCAAACTATGAACTTCTAAATTCCATTGGGGTTAGAAGTTGGTGTAATTAATTGTCCATCTTAATGTTTTGAATATTTTAAACATGGATTGTTAATTTTATTTTTACTTAGATGTTGTATTTAAAAATAAATAAATTTGAAATGTTTGTGATTTTTAATTAAGGGCCCAATCATAAACATAATTGTTACAAGGAATATGAACTAAAATTGATATAATCATAAAATAGAACACTTTTTAAATACACCGTAAGCCTTCTCTACCTTTAACCGGGATTGAAGACTTTCGGGTGGAAATAATTATTGAGTTGTATTTTTACACCATTAAATTGGGTAAACATACAATAAAATAATTATGGTTGCCGTTGTTACTAAATAATTACTCTGGATTTATCATTAGCGTGTTAAAGTCGGACTAGTTATTATTTAGGTGAACTGCGAGAGCGTCCCTAAATACTTTTCTGCAACTCCACACATTCTATATAAAAATAAATTGACAATCCAACTTTTATAAAAACATTGGATAATTAATTTACCAATTTCTACCCCCAACTTTTTATCATCAAAAACTTTGTCTTGTTTGAAACTCTTTTCTTTTACACTTTTTATTTTATCTTTAAAACCAAAAAGACCAAAATATTTTACAACTTCTTTTGTAAACTTTTGTTTAAATTAAATTAACTCACGTCTCCCTGAGGTTCGACACCCTACTTACAAGGGATTCTTTTTATTTGTTATTTTTGCCCGTTCTATACTGCAAACCAACTTGGCGCCGTTGCCGGGGAGACGGTTTGAGTTATTTTTTTCTAAACATAATTTTTATTGTTTATTTGTTGTAAATATTTGTTTTCTTTTCCCTAACCTCTTCTTGCAGGTACTAAAAAAAACAAAACAAAAAAAACACAAAAAAAAAACAAAAAAAAACTAAAAAAAAAACTTAAAAAAAACTGAAAAAAAAAATCATTTGAGTTCCTTTACTCTTGAACACTTATTGGACTTGGACATATTGGACATACCTGGACATATTGAACTATCCCACAGGTAGGATTTTCCGCCAATGGTGATTGGACATTTTTTTTTTCTTCTTTATTTTGCCCGCTGACCGGCAAAGCCGTCACAGGGTTTGTACATTTAATTACTGCACTTTACATTTCTGCATTTTTTTTTCTTTCTTTCCAGGCGTGCAAAGCCGCTATTGGACATTATATCTATATACTATATATTGTATATTATATATTATATATACTATATTATATATTATATATACTATATATATTATACATATTATATATTATATTTTATATATATATATATATATATATATATATATATATATTATCTATATATTATTACTAACTCTTTTTATTTTTTTTAGTGTCCTCGTTGGTTTATTACCGCTTGGCACTCTAACTGCTAACTACTAACTAAGGTATCACTTGTCTCAGTGGTTTTTACCTCTTGACTTAAGTGAGAACCTTTTTATTAATTTTTGCACATTACATTATTATTATTTTTTCTTTTCCTTTTCCCCTTTCCCTTCTCTTTTCAATTTTTCCCTTCCCCCCCCCCTTTTTTTTTATTTTCCTTCTATTTCCCTTTCCCCTTCCCCCCTCTCTCTCTAAACCTCCCCAATCCCTTTCTTTTTATGCTAACTCGTTCCCGTGGGAAAAATCAAGAAAAATTTTTCTTTCCAGAAATTGAAAAACATTTGAAAGAAATAAGAAAAAGAAAGAAAATGGAAGTCCCACGGAACGATGTTCTTGAAAATGTGCAGGGAATTCCGAGAAGACAAAATGAAGTTCCGAACAGGAGGACTCTTTCTGATTATGTCACTCCTCCTGTGGCGGAACATAACAGCATTATTCTGCCAGATGTCACAGCAAACAACTTCGAAATCAAACCTGCTGTCATCCACATGGTCTCATCTGATCAGTTTGGTGGAGGACCAACGGAGGACCCACACAACTATATCACCAAATTCCTCCGAGCGTGCAATACATTCAAAATCAATGGTGTGCCAACCGATGCAATCAGACTTCGTTTGTTCCCATTCTCTCTAAGGGACAGAGCTCAGAGCTGGCTGGATTCATTTCCGGACAATCACTTCACAACTTGGGATCAGCTTCACGGAGAATTTCTCAAGCGATTCTTTCCGCCATCCAAAACAGCAATAATCAGGCGGATTATACAAAATTTCAAGCAAAATCTAAACGAGCCCCTTTACGAGGCTTGGGAGAGATTCAAAGATCTTCAAAGGCAATGCCCACATCACAATATCCAGTCCTGGCACCTAATGACGGCTTTCTATGAAGGCCTAAATGAGAACTCACGGATATTGTTGGATGCCTCGGCGGGCGGATCATTCATGAGCCTTGAACTTGACGAAGCTGAAGAACTCATTGAGCGGATTTCAACAAATGGATCCACTTGGTACTTTGACCGTCCATCCACTCAACCGAAAATTGGAGGCATGTACGAAGTTGATCAAATGTCGGCCATGGCTGCTAAGGTCGATAGCATGATGAGCATGATCCAAAAGATTGCTCAAGTCTCTGCTGTGCAAAACACTACGCCAGCACCGCCACTTGTTCCTATTCTCATGTGTGTATCGTGTGGTGGACAACATGATCAATCCACGTGTCCATGGGATGCAATGGAGCAAGTTGATTATGTCAACTACAACCGGCCGCAGCAACAACAAAATCCATTTGGAGGATTTAATTCTCAAAATAGAAATCATCCTGGTTTCTCATGGAGCAATCCCAGTGGAGCTTCAATCCACAAGCTTATCGAAGTTCACCACCCGGCTTTCAAAATCAACAGCAACAACAATTTAGAGGTGGCCAAGGTTTTGCTAACAATCAACAAGTTAAGCAAAACCAAAGCTTCCCCTATGTTTCCAATCAACAAAAGCCGATCCTGCCAACTCCTGAAACAACATCAGCTCCCGGCTTGGATAACATTGTTGATCAGCTACTCAAATCTCAACTAGCCCAAGCCGAAACCTTGAAGAACATTTCTGAAGGTCTTACTCAACTTCGAGCTCACAATAGGATGCTTGAAAATCAAATCTCTAGTCAAGCATCAACATCATCAACAAAGGTGACCGGGAAATTGCCAGCTTGTCCCGAGAATCCAAGAGAGCAAATGAATGCTATCACTACTCGGAGTGGGAAACAAATTCAATCTCCATCTCTTCTGAGTAGTGATCCTGAAGAAGAAAGAGGAGAGGATGTCAAAGGAGAAGCTCAGAACAAAGTCAAAGGAGATGCTGCTGAAATGCTGCCGGAGTCAATTCAGATCAAAGAAGGAAAGAAGAAAGAAGATGAGGGTTTGATAAGGAAATATGCTCCACCAATTCCTTTTCCAAACCGACTCAAGAAATCACATATTGAGGAACGAAGAACCAAGTTCTTGAACCGTATCAAGCAATTGGATATCTCTATTCCTTTGCTTGATGCCATCACCGAAATTCCTTCTTATTCCAAATTTCTTAAGGAGATCTTAACAAAGAAGAAGGAAAATCCTCTCACGGTGGCCATGAGTCAAGAGTGTAGTGCCATTATTCAAAATAAGATCACACCAAAACTGTGTGATCCTGGAAGCTTTTCAATTCCATGCTACATCGGAGGATCTAAAGTAAACAAAGCTCTTTGTGATCTTGGTGCAAGTGTTAGCTTGATTCCATACTCTATATGTCAAAAGTTACACTTGGGTGATCCAAAACCAACAACCATGGCACTACAATTGGCTGATCGCTCTGTAAAGTACCCAATCGGCATTCTTGAAGATGTTCATGTGAAGATCGATAAATACTATATTCCAGGAGACTTTGTTGTCTTGGATATGGAAGAAGATGCCCGAGTTCCTATCATTCTCGGAAGACCATTTCTAGCCACTGCTGGAGCAATCATAAATGTGAAGAAGGGTACACTCATCCTTGAAATCGTGGATGACAAGATCGAGTTCAATGTGCAAGAGCTAAGTAAGAATGCTGCATGCGTTCTTGATTGTTTCAACGTAGATATCATTGATTCATGTATTCTTGGAACTCTTGAGGAATCTCATTTACTCTCAAGAGATCCAATGGAGTATGCCAATCTGTTGAAGAGAAACAATCAAATGAGATGGTGAACTCATGCTTGGAGATTTTAGATCATCTCTCAGAACCAATGGAGGGATCGGAAAAATTTGAAGTCCTTAATCTTGAAGAGGAGCCTATGCCCAAAAATGATGAAATACCTAAAGTAGAGCTCAAACCTCTTCCCTCTACTTTAAGGTATGCGTTTCTTGGGCCCGATTCTACTTTTCCGGTGATCATCAACTCTTCCCTAAATGCCGAACAAGAGGAGAAGCTGCTTAAAGTCCTTAGGGAACACCGGAGGATAATTGGTTACACCATTGACGATATTGTCGGAATCAATCCTTCATATTGCATGCACCGCATCTATCTTGAAGAGGAGCATAAACCAAGCATTGAGCACCAACGACGTCTTAATCCAAACATGAAAGACGTTGTCAAGAAAGAAGTGCTAAAGTTGTTGAGAGCAGGAATCATCTATCCCATTTCAGACAGCAAATGGGTTAGCCCTATTCATGTGGTTCCGAAAAAGGGAGGAATTACCGTTGTTAAAAA